AACTAGTACTACACTACGACTACTAACGTAACTTACGTAACTTACGTACTTACTACGTACGTACGTACGTAGTACGTACGTACGTAGTAGTAGTAGAGAGAGAGAGAGAGAGAGAGAGAGAGAGAGTACTTACAACTGAAAGCTCCACAAATTTTATGTCTTCTGCTGAAGCGTTATCTCCGATGCGCCCCCCATTGCAATCCAGCATCTCCACCCTAAACAGTTCTCCTTCCATCACCTCCGCCACCGGAGGTATGTCTGGGTGCCACCGGTTGTGCAAAGGCTTTTCTTGTTCCCATGGTTTCTTCTTCACATCTATGGGCACAACCACCCTTGGGGAGAAAGGGGCCATTGCAAACACAACTGAAGCTAAACTTCCCCTGTTTTATTCTGGTGTCACTACAAAGAGCCCCCGCAATTTAAGTGTCCAGAACTTTAAACCATCTTGAGATAGGGTCTTGACCACTTGGTCTGGTGGTTAGGGCATAAGGGTCACTCACAACACCAGTTTAAGCCCTCCTTCCAAAGGATTGAAGCCATTGGAGAGTCTCTAAGTAAAGCCCAATACTCCTGAACAAAGGTACTGTTATGAGCAAGTGCTCTCCTTTGTGTGCCATTCTTGTCAAATGAAAAAGTCATGCATGCATTGGGCTGTTCTCTTATTCTTTTGACCTTTTTATTTTTGCTAGTGGCCTCAATAGAAGGTTCAGATCAAATGGTGAGATACCCATCAAGAATATCTAAACCATTCATCCAACTCGTAAGTTTCATTTACAATGTAGTTGAGGATTGGTCCCAAGCCATAGAAGAGGGCTTTATCAATGTGTCTTATTCATATGAATCAGTGGAGGATAAAGGTTAGAGAGTTGCTCTCCTAAGATAGATAGCCAAGGGTTTGGTGATGGGTCATGGTCATGCCTCTTCCTTCTTGTGATTTGACGTCGTATTTTCTTGTTCAACTGGGGACTTAGAGAAGTTGAGATGAGAATCGGTCTCTCACTGTTTCTACGAATGTATAGGATTTTAAAAATAAATAATTATTGAAATTATGAACTATATCGGGATTATAGCGATTCTAATGAATTGGCTAGCCTAACTAGTCTGATGCCTTATCCAGTCCAAAGTATAAAAATTAAATTTGATTGAAAACTAATTTAAATAAATATTTGAACAATTTTGATTAGTTAGATTGGTTTGGTTACAAAAAGAAAAACTTGCTCCAACCTTGTTTTTGCTAGACAACCTATGTTTGAACAATTAAATATTGGGTTTGAGAGTATCTTTTATATCTTTGGGGCCCAAAAGGAATCCAAATATCCGTGTCTTCGATGGTCCAAATTCTTCTTCTTTTTTGCACCATTCCTGGTTCTTTCATATCATTTTGGTCTGATATGCCCTTTCTCTGTCAAGGCTTGTCATCTAGATATTTTCTACTGCCTTTAACCTCTCTCACTAAATCTCTATTTTAGAATTAAGTGAAATTTATCCAAATACATTTAAAATATTCAGTATTTAACACATCTATTTATCATGTTAAAAAGAAGAAGATCTATTTATCAAAATGTACCTATAATATCAACTTTTCCAAGTCCAGTTACGTATCTTTTCATATGCATTTCGAAAGTAAAAAAGAAAAAGTTCATGTATAAATAGTTTATCTCTCGAGTGTGTTTTTAATAAGAGATTGTATACAATGAGACCATTTATCTTTGGTACAACGAGGTCACAAGTACTTATAACCATCTAATATAAAATATGATAGCTTGAGTATGTCACAAAGTTCGAGAAAATTTGTGAATGTAATAAAATATAGCTACTCAATTTCACATCCAATGGTCAAGATTAATTGTAACCACCTTGTACCAAAAGTAAACGGTCTCGTCGTATACTTTTCATTTTGATAAATATTCCAATTCTTCACAATCACATGTAATGATGTTTTATTTTTTGGTAATATTCTTATTCTGTCTTTTGCTAAAAAATAATAATAAAATCTTAGTCTATCTTTTATTGCGTAGGTACGTTTCAAGGTTCTTGTGGGACCTTGTACACAACGGTGCAGTTTATATAAGGTGGCAACCTCACTTATAAAACAAGGTTGCAATGTTCTACACTATTTATTTTAGTTGGATAATATATATTTGACACAGATATTTATAATATAAAAAAATGACATTTCTTTTTATATATTGCCAAATCTACATTATCAAGATAAATTGGATGGCATAGATTTCACTTAAACAAACACATAAAGTTGCAAACCTATATAAATTTTTTCTGTATGCTTAATGCTTTCTAAATAAAACAAGTTATTTGATAAATCTATTTTTCACATTTAAATGCAGTTTTACTTTTATCATCTCGATTGTCTCATTTTTGTGGGGTACATGGTAATACTTCAACTTTTGGCTCGGAGGTTCGAACCAATTTACATTATTTTAATGAGTGGTATGGCAGTAACTTTCTTTCGGTTTTTGTTCAAGAAATGAGAACTTTGTAGTGCATTTATTTTGGTCTAAAAAATTTATATTTTTATGGTCTTATTAAATTTGTACTTCAATTGTGTAGTCTTCGCTTCCTTGCGTTTTTTTTCTACTAAGGCACATGCAGGACACATGCTCAAATTAGTTGAAATAGAATTTTAATTATTTAAAAATGTTCTAATAGCTAAAAATGGGCGTGATAGATATTGTTTCCTCATTATTAAATGGAAGATGTCGGTATAGTTTCTCATTTATTTGGAAATAAATTTGCTAAAAAAAAATTATTTGGAAATAAATTTACTAAAAAAAAAATTATTTGGAAACGAATTATGGGTGTTTGATTTGTGGTTATGGATGAGGAAATGATTAGAATTTAAGAATGTTAAGAGTCTTTGTTAAGCTAGTCATTGGTTAGTGATGAGTGTTGGAGTATGTTCAGAAATGATTTGTAGTTTAACCTTAGAGAGACATTGTTAAATTGAAGTTTGATTCATGGCTTGCAATTCAGGAAAAAGCAATATATTGACGAAAAAAACGTGGGTAATAAATCGATTTGATTCAAGCAATCGGAGGAAAAAGTTGCGGCGAGAACG